AGAGAGAGAGAGATAGTATTGATGTCCTAAAATAGCAAATTAAGAATCAGGCAAATCAAGAGAATTCAAGGAAGTGGTGTGTTTAAAAAGTTTTAAAACGGCTGTCCAGGAGAAACAGGGCTTGCGTGATGCCCTTGCTGAGTTCTGGGGTGTAAAAACTACCATGGCCAATTTCAGCCTGCCAAGGGGATGTTGACTAACTCATAAAATTCCTGAAAATTTAACTTTCACCTCTGGCAAACTTGTAGGAATCAGCATCAAGTTGAAGAGAAGATTAAAATTAAGGGAAGTTGTCCACAAAAGTCGTTAAACCTAATTTTGTATGCATTTTCTGTTTAAATAGCATAAATATTGTTATAAGTAGATTGCTTTGTTTTTGTTTCTAAGCCTTTCGGGGCAGTTTAAACCAAATTTAAAATAATCAAGTAAGTAAAGTCGTAGCTTTCTTTAAAAGTGATAGGGAGATCAACTTGTGTAAGAAAATTAATTTCACTTGAAAGGGGGTTAGAGCTCAAAGACAAGAGATCTCTTCCAGAACAGTGAATCTCAAAATATGGAACTATGTCTCCACTTGATCAGCATCATCTGAAAAGTTGGTAAAAATAGAATGTGGCCTGCGAAATGCAAGGTCAGCAGTTTGAAATCACCATGTACTCAGATGATGGCAGATGAGGCTCTCTACTTCCATAAGGATTTACCGTCTCAGAAACCCACAGAGGAAATTCTATTCTGTCCTACAAGGTCCCTGTGAATCGAGATCAGCTGGGTGGCAGTGAATTGTCATGCCCCCTCCAGATCTCCAGAATCAGCCTGTTCTGTGACTCACAGGATCTCTGGGGACCATTGCCAGCAATGGTTTTCACATTTCACTATGCACAGGAATCCCTAGAGGGGCTTACTAAAATGCCGAGTCTGAGCTCCAGCCCACGCCAACTCAATTAGAATCTCCGGAGATGGGGTTTAGGAGCAGCAAAAACAAAATAAAACTTTTATTCATTTGTATTCACTGACGAGCCATTAAGGGAGGGGCCTTCTTTCCCTCTTTTTCTTCCTTCCATCCTTTATTTCTAAGAGGAGCATTTCTTCTAGAAAATTGGGATGTGTCAGGACTAGATCCATTCTGATACACAGAATATACCACTGAGAAGTATTTTTGGAAGCAAGAAACCAACTCAAACTTCAGAAGGCTAATTACTTGTTCTTTAAATCCGCCAAGGAATAATGAGAACTCCTTACATCTCTTCCTTTGGCCTAATAGGGTTTGGGATCCTTCCTGTCCCAACTTAGTGTACTTTGTTATTATTTTGTTTGTTTATTATGATTTGGGTGGCAGTTGATAGGGAAAATGGTTTGCCATTCAACAATTTATGCACATTTGGTTGTCACGCTGTTTGCAATCCCCACAGTGTAACAGCACTCTCTCCACTCCTCCCTGTGTTTACTGCTTGCATTCATGTGTCTTCCCTACCACTTCCTGCCCTCTGCGCTTTATCCCTGGGCAAATGCTCCCTGGCTGATCTCCTGTGGTTGGTTATTCTACAGTCTGCATCTTCATGGTGTGTTTGTTCACTTCACAGGCCAATCAGTGCCTTGAAAGTTGAGCCACCAAGGTGAATCCAGTTCCAAGGAAAAGGTGGCTCGGGGTCACCGACATGGCTCCATCAGTCTCTATCAAGCCCATGAGCCTGGTCTTTTTAAAAAAAGATGCTGAGTTTTGTTTAACATCTTTTCCATTCTATCCAAGACCTCCTGGTGTGATCCCTTTCAGAGGGATCAGCAGAGGCATCTGGGCATCATCTAATTCCCGGTCTCAGAGTCATCACCCACTTTATTTTTCAGTTTGTTTTCTCCTCAAGAATTGTAAGACCATTTCTGGACATCGTATCATCTCACTAGCTCTATGTATCTCTAGTAGGCAAGAACCTTTCAATTTGAATTGTCATTATTATAATGTAAACAATGAATAATCATTTTCCTCCTGTCTTTGTTATTGTTGTTTTTTAATTGGATACACTGTATCTTTCTCTCTCTCTCTCTCTCTCTCTCTCTCTGAAGGCTCTTTTATTCTAGAGGAGGTCTTCCTTTTCCACCTCAAATTGTAATTCTAGGCATTTGCTGAAGAAATTGATCATGTGACTATCACTCTTTGCACACTGGATGTGGCTGACTCTATTGTCATGATGTTGTTTAGAATGCCCATTTTTTTGTAACCTGGCAGCTTGGTCAGACAGGAAGGTACTTCCAAGAGATCTTAAGTTGATTGATGGATTTGGTGTTATCAGAATGGTTCATTCAGTATAAAATTTACCATCACATTTCACCTAAGGGGTTGACCACCATCAATGATTATTGACAAGATTGATTGCTTTATTAGGGTTTACAAAATAATAGTTATCTCATTTTTAAATCTCCATATTTCTGCTGGAATTTTAATTAATGAAAAAAAGTCTTTCTCTTAAAATTTACTTGGTTATCTGAAACAGTTTAGTCAATAAGAGCAATAGTTGATTCAAGAAAAATAAGATCTTTTTCCCTTAAGTTACAAGTTTTAGAATAAGTTATTGCCTTAACTTCAAATGTGACAATGAAGGTTTTTATTTGCTTCGTTTATTTTTATTATCATTATGAAACCATGGAAGTTTACATAGTTGATTTACATCAGTACATTGGAATCAGTATTGGTTTTTGGTGCTCCAATGATCACATCTTTGGTTCCAGTAGTCTAGAATAGCTGCCTTACCTTTGAAAACAAGCAGATGCTCCAAGAGGACCTTGTATATATCATACCCTAGACCAGGCTTAGGCATTTCTCCAAGGATCCCTGACTTTTTGAGTAGAGACAGGTATTTAAAGACACAACAAAAATCTTTAGGGGCTCCTTCTTACTAAGCTTTTTTTTAGTAGGCAGAGCTAGAATAATGTATTTTAGAATACTGGAAATAAAGCATAAGTTCACGTTCCTACTTGTGACTCACATTTAATATTAGCAAAATCTGTTGACTATCTTTTAATTGATGATTTGAATTTCAAATCAACAATAGCAATATTACTACTAACAAATAAAGCCAAACCTGCCATTGAGGTGATTTTGACTCATAACAACTCTATCTTTTTTAGAGTAGAACTGTGTCCCATAGGGTTTTCAATGGCTAATTTTTCAGAAATAGATTTCCAAGAATTTCTTGTGATGCCTCTAGATAGATTGACGCTCCTAACCTTTAAATTAGTAAGTAAGCATCTAAATTTTTGTGCCTGCATGGATCCCTACCATTAACAAAAAGACTGCAAAAACTTAGCTAAGTTTTCTATCCCATAATAGATAGTCTGTGCTCGCTTTGGCAGCATATAAATTAAAATTGGAATGATACACAGAAAATTAATATGACCCCTGTGAAAGAATGACATGCAAATCTTGAGGCATTGTATATTTTAAAATAATACACAAGGAGGAAGAAACAAAGAAATTAATAAAACCACATACACATACAAAACATATAGCAAAATGACAGCAATGAATCCATACATATCAATACAGATGCTGAATGATAATGGGTTAAGTGCACCAGTCAAGAGACAGCAAATAGAAGAATGGATTAGAAAATTAGACCCATCAATATGTTGCCTACAAGACATAAACCTGAAGCACAAAGACAAAAATATGTTAAAAATCAAAGCATGGAGAAAAGTTCACCAGTGTAATCACAGAGTGGCAATATAAGTGATAAGATAGACTTCAAAGCAAAAAGTATGAGAGACAAAAAAAGAGTCATCATAATTAAAGGAGTAATAGAACCAGAAGATATAACCACAATAAACAGCATGAATAAAAGACCCTCAAAATGCATTCATCAAACAATCACAGAGTTCAAGAGATAAATTGACAGCTTGGAATAATAGTAGGAGACTTCAATACACCGCTCTCAAAGAAAACCAGATCATCAGAAAAGGAACTCAATAAAGACACAGAAGAACTAAAGCTTCCACCAACTTGACCTCCTAGATGTATACAGAGCACAGCACTCAACGACAGCACAATGTACATTATTCTCCAGTGCACATGGGACATCCTACAAAATAGATCACGTCAGGCCACAAATCTTTAATACATTTAAAACCACTGAGATTCTACAACCCATTTTCTCAGACCACGATGTTATAAAATGAGACATGAAAACTATAAAGAACAAGGGCAAAAAAATCAATGGCATGGAAACTGAACAACATAGTACTTAAAAATGACAACAGAAAAATGGGTGAAGGGAGATGTCAGACAGCGTAAGACATGGCAAAATAATAATAATTTATAAATAATGAAGGATTCAGGAGGGAAGGGGTGCCAGAGAGGGAGGGGGAAAATGA